GCGGTTTCGAGCTCCGCTGTTCCCGGTGTGAGCCCGGGACCAGCACAGCAGCTCAGCGGCCGGAGATCAAACGTAGGTCAGTTCACGATCCGTTTGATCTCCTCCTCGTCGGAATGCAGGAAGTGATGTGTACTACATCACTTCCTGCATTCCTCTGTTACTCTCTGGTACAGAAACCAGAGAGAAGCTGGTGAAGCAGGTCTCTGCTTCATCAGCTTCTCTGGGGGTCCCTAGGTGACATTAGGGGTCTTAAAGACCTCTGATGTCTCCATAAAGAGGAACTGTCACTGCAAATTGGCTGTCACATAGGGAGCTTGTTTGCTCCCTATGTGGTAGCAATAAAGTTCAGAGAAAAAAAAAAGTTTAAAAAGTCACATATCAAAGCAATAAAAAAAATTTAAATCCCCCGCCCCCACAAACATGCGTCGAGTCTGCCTACGTGCGAAAGCGACGATTACATCCATTGTGCCGCACATATTACATATCGCTGAGAACGTCGCAGTAAGAGCAATAATTCTAGGGCCATTAATCACTGATAACACTAAAGAGCCGTAAAAGCTTTTAAAGCGTCGCCTATGGTCAATTTTGGGTATGGTAGTTTTTTGCGATCTAGCAGGTGCGCGCAATTTTAAAGCTTGACATGTTTGGTGTCTATTTACCCGACGTGACCCCGTCTTTTATATTTCACCAAAAAATTGGGTAATAATAAATGTTTTATAACATAACGTAGGGAGAACAGGTTCTTTTTCAAAATTTTCGCTACTTTTTTCATTATATAGTAAAAAAAAAAAAAACCCCCAGTGGTGATTAAATACCACCAAAAGAAGCTCTATCTGTCCCCAAAAAATGGTATAAAATTTGTTGCAGTATAGCGTTGCATGACGGAATAAATGTCAAAGTACCACAGAGCCGAATGCTGAAAAATGGCCTGGCCAGGAAGAGGTCTCCCTGGTCTTAAAGTCTTAAAGTGGTTAAAAGAAGTGGAAAAAGGATACCATTTAACATTGTTACATGCATTTATATTCGCTTCTAATTGTCCTATACATGCATATAAATGCATGTGTGAAACTACCATTGTGAATGAGGCCTAAAAGGTCACCACTTTAATCTGCACATAAATGAGACACTTTAAATACAATATAACAATGTTGTTGCATGGTATTTCTAAATGAAGCTGTACAGACACTGCTGCTGTATTACAGAGTCAATTTGTCGGCACGTTTGGCAGTGTAGGGGAAAAAAGAATTGGGCGTACCACCAAGTTGCTTTTTGAAGTTTTTATGGTGTGCACCTTAAGCGGTTAAGGAAAACTAGCAATTATGCCTTTTCTTCCCCTTCGATATGCATCTGACTAAGAATAGTCTAATATAAACTATATTGCCAAAAGTATTGGGACGCCTACCTTTACACGCACATGAACTTTAATGGCATCCCAGGCCGTAGGGTTCGATATTGAGTTGGCCTACCCTTTGCTGCTATAACAGCTTCAACTCTTCTGGGAAGGCGTCCACAAGGTTTAGCAGCGTGTCTATGGGAAGGTTTGACCATTCTTCCAGAAGCACATTTGTGACGTCAGGGACTGATGTTGGAAGAGAAGGCCTGGTTCGCAGTCTTCGCTCTAATTCATCCCAAAGGTGTTCTATTGGGTTGAGGTCAGGACTCTGTGCAGGCCAGTCAAGTTCCTCCACCCCAATCTCGCTCATCCATGTCTTTATGGACCTTGCTTTGTGTACTGGTGCGCAGTCATGTTGGAACAGGAAGGGGCCATCCCTAAACTGTTGCCCGCAAAGTTGGGAGCACGAAATTGTCCAAAATGTCTTGGTATGCTGATGCCTTCAGAGTTCCCTTCACTGGAACTAAGGGGCCAAGACCAACTCCTGAAAAACAACCACACACCATAATCCCCCCTCCACCAAACTTTACACAATGCAGTCAGTCAAGTACCGTTCTCCTGGCAACCGCCAAACCCAGACACGTCCATCGGATTGCCAGACAGAGAAGCGTGATTCGTCACTCCAGAGAACGCGTCTCCACTTCTCTAGAGTCCAGTGGCGGCGTGCTTTACACCACTGCATCCGACGCTTTGCATTGCACTTGGTGATGTAAGGCTTGGATGCAGCTGCTTGGCTATGGAAACCCATTCCATGAAGCTCTCTACGCGCTGTTGTTGTGCCAATCTGAAGGCCACACAAAGTTTGGAGGTCTGTAGCTATTGACTCTGCAGACAGTTGAGACTTCTGCGTATTGTGTGCTTCAGCATGCGCTGACCCCGCTCTGTCATTTTACGTGGCCTACCACTTCGTGGCTGAGTTGCTGTTGTTCCCAGTTGCTTCCACTTTGTTACAATACCACTAAAGCTGCCCATACACCTGGCGATTATCGTACGATAATCGCGGGTGATCCCGCGATCGTACGATAATCGTAAGCTGTATGGGCAGCGTGCGACCGCATATACTGTAAGGTCGCATGACTTTCGTCTTACAAGCACGCTAGAAAACCCGCCGAAAATCGTACGATTTTCAAAAGTCGTGCGATGGTTGTAAGGTGTATGGCCACCTTAACAGGTGGCCGTGGAATATTTAGTAGCAAGGAAATTTCACAGGTGGACTTATTGCACCGGTGGCAACCTATCACAGTACCATGCTTGAAATCACTGAGCTCATGAGAGCGACCCATTCTTTCACAAATGTTTGTAGAAGCGTCTGCAGGCCTAGGTGCTTGATTTTATACACATGAGGTCATGGAGGTGATTGGAACACCTGAATCCAATGATTTGGAGGGATGTCCCAATACGTTTGGCAATATAGTGTATAAATAACTTGATCGAAGTGAATAAAAATACAAGAAAGCTTGCAGTTAGTAATAATACACACACACACACACACACACACTCTTGCTTAACGGCATATGCTACTTCTTGCTTAGTAGTAAAAAAAGTAATTTACAAAAAGTTTGTGGCTTACTATTTCTCACTACAAGTCCATCAGTGTGTTCAAACTAACAAAAAAAATAGGATTTTTGTACTAACCGTAAAATCCTTTTCTCTCCGTTCATTGAAGGACACAGGAAACAAATCATAGATCCTGAATGGTAGGGTAATATCGCCACCTGCAGGAGAAGGACGCTAGGCACAAAACTAAAGACCAATTACAGCCTAGGGGCGGCCCCTGCCGGTGGCCAAACCCCCCACCTGCTGACAAGTCTCCAGTTTAGTAACAAGCAGTTAGGAGTGTACACCCCATAAAGAGGGCGGGGCCTGTGTCCTTCAATGAACGGAGAGAAAAGGATTTTACGGTGAGTACAAAAATCCTATTTTCTCTCCCGTTCATTGAAGGACACAGGCAACAGATCGTAGATCCTGAATGGTAGGGACGTCACCAAGCAGTAACACACTGAGGGATGGGCAACAACAAACAAAACACCCAAAAGACCCCTCAAGCGCCGCCTGCAACACTTTGCGCCCCAAACCAGCATCCGCCGATGCTCACACGTCCACCTTGTAGAACCCAACAAAGGTGTGAACAGAAGACCAAGTAGCGGCCTTACAAACCTGAGAAACAGAGGCCCCGTGGCGGAAAGCCCAGGAAGCCCCAACAGCCCTAGGAGAATGGGCAGTGACAGGAAATGGAGGCTCACACCCCTTAACGGCGTACGCCTGAGTCACAACAGTACGTATTCACCTAGAGATGGTAGCTGGCGACGCGGCCCGACCCTTATGAGGACCCTCCGTGAGCACGAACAGGGAGTCGGTCCCGCGGAAAGAAGCCGTAGCTTCCAAATAAACACAAAGAGCGCGAACCACATCCAAACAGTGGAGCGCACGCTCCTTCCTATGAACCGGCTTTGGACACAGGGAAGGTAAGACAATGTCCTCATTCAGATGTAATGCCGACACAACCTTCGGCAGGAACGCCGGCCGAGGACGGAGAACCGCCTCGTCCCGATGCAAAACCAGCATTGGGGACTTGCAGGACAAGGCAGCCAACTCCGACACCCGCCGAACGGAAGTGATGGCCACCAAAAAGGCCACTTTTTGTGACAAAGATATAAGCGGAATCTCCCTAAGAGGCTCAAACGGGGATTCCTGCAACCCGAAAGCACGAGATTCAAATCCCACGGAACCAAAGGCGCGCGGACAGGGGGAGCAATGCGTGTCACCCCCTAAACAAAAGGTGCGAACCAAAGCATTAGACGCCAAAGGCCGCCGGAAAAGCACCGCCAAGGCCGAGATTCGGCCCTTCACAGTACTCAAGGCTAGACCCTGAGCCACCCCGCGCTGCAGGAACACAAGGATTCCGCTGATGGAGAAGAGCCTCACACCAGGGCGCGCTCTGAGCATAGTGGATATGACCGCATCGGACAACCCCCGGTCCTTCAGGACCTGGCTCTCAATAGCCACGCCGTCAAAGCCAGCGACTGTAAAGAAGGATGGAACACAGCACCCTGGGGCGCAGAGACAGACATCACGGGGCGTCCACCACCAGCAGAACCTCGTCCGCGTACCACGCCCCTTCGCTAGGCAAAAAACTGGAGACTTGTCAGCAGGTGGGGGGTTTGGCCACCGGCAGGGGCCGCCCCTAGGCTGTAATTGGTCTTTAGTTTTGTGCCTAGAGTCCTTCTCCTGCAGGTGGCGATATTACCCTACCATTCAGGATCTACGATCTGTTGCCTGTGTCCTTCAATGAACAGGAGAGAAATAATACATTCTCTGTGTGGCCTGTCTATCTTAATTTCTGCATTTGCAGAGATGCTGAATAATCATATACACAGATAGCTGCCTGAAATTCTGCTGTTTCCAAGTCTGGCAGTAAAAGCCATGTATTCTTACCTTCTTAAATTCATCTTGAATTATGTCAAACTTCAGTTTTTCATGTACTGCTCTAGCAGTGTTTGTTCTGTCAAATGGCTCTGGAAAACATATGTCACTCTGTTTAACATGTATTATGCATACAATATGCAGCAAAGTTAGATTAGGTGAAGTGAACATAGGTATTTGCTCGTAGTATAGGAGTTACAGAAATTATAACCAGCAATTTCTAAATTACAATCTTTTTCTGTACCCAGCACTCAGACGGAGAAAATCCAGGTCCATGACACAGCAAGGGATCTTTGTAATTGCAGGAAAAATGAAAGTATACTTCTATTCAGTTTTAATGAGTGGAGCTAAATCATATATCCTTTGACAGCATAGCTTAATGCATAGGTTTCTCTTCTCCATCCACCGCCGGCCAACCGAATGCATTTTAATTTAAAACTGAACTCTCTCTTCTGAACTAGAAATCAGATGTGCCACATCCACACGTGTTGAATAAGATCATGCTGACAGGACAGCGGGTAGCATGAGCAGTGGGATGAGCTCATCTGTACGATGCTTTGCTTTCATGATCCAATCAACAAGCTGGGGGTAGGGAGGTGACCAGGCTGTACTATTAAACTGCAAGGGAGAAAAGCTAGGTCACCAAATTGCCTATGCTGCCTGGCAGGTAAAACAATTCCCCACAGAAGCATTTCAACTTGTGTATTTGTGCCTGGAGCTTAATTTGATATGTGGTAGGGAGAAATGTTAAATTGTGCCTGAGCAGTAGCCTGAATGGAATGAGTGTGCCTATGGACTCATAGATGTGCGAGATCTAAGGCACTGCTGCCTCTGACTGCTAGCCTCGGGAGATCTGGAGTGAGATTTGGTGATATCACCACTGTGCTGCTCACCAATTCTCCTTGCTGAATGCTCTGACATGAGGAAGAAACGCCCTGCATCTGCCAATATTGTCACCTCCATCACCTTCAAGAGTTCAGTTTGTCTTTAAAAAGGCAAAAGTTCAACCAGTCACTTTTCACTGCTTATTGATTCTCCATAGCCAGAGGTTTGTATTAGCCATGTATTCAAAATTCGCTGACACATACCCCCATCCCGATTAGAGGTGCTAGAGGCACTGATAGCGTTTTTCCTCATCATTTCGTAGTGCATCCACATGGAAATAACATGATACTAAATAATAAACAAAAAGGGCAAATACTGTACATCTGGGACCGACGGGAAAAATGAATATAGGTTCTTAGGAGTGGCCATGACCATGCCAATTACCGAATACCCAAAGCGAGCACCTTTTAGTCCATATGGATAGGCTGCTACACCAGACCTGATCTGCGATGTTGCAGCAAATAATCTCTTGATAATCCTGAGCATGAGGCAGCAGTGTACAACTGAGTGACCTAAATGGCAACCAAAAGCTTTGTACCGCTAGTCACATATCTCTAGAATCAGTAAAAGAAAGAAAACAAAAAAAGATAGATGTTGCCTACTTGTGCTATGCTTGTTACCTAAATACAGAACAAAAGCATTTTGGTAAAACCAATGTTGGCATTTGCAAACTTGTTTTCCTCACCTTCCACGCAGATGTATTTGTGTCTCCATTCAATGCCATCTGTTCTCTGCATAGTTTTGCCTTCTCGCACAGAAATAAGTTTGTCTGTCCAGCTAAAATAAAAACATGTACATACAAGTAATTTCTCCTGAATGAGTAAGTGCAGGACACATTACAAAACACTGAACATGTGCTAGAAATAAGTAATGTTTACAGGAAAACAAAACTGCAGCCAAGATGACTGTACATCAACAATCTGTATCAAACACGCACGCTCATTAATTCCCCTTGAGACCTGTCAGTCAGGGAAATGCACTAGGGTAGGGGTAGCCAAACTTCGGCCCTCCAGCTGTGGGGAAACTACAAATACCATCATGCATCTCTCTCCGGGAGTCATGTCTGCGAGAATCTTGCAATGCCTCATGGGATTTGTAGTTCCACCACAGCTGGAGGGCCGGAGTTCGGCTAACCCGGCACTGGAGCGTCCATAGACATCTGATCATTTCTTTATTTAACCAGACGGAGTGACAATTCTCTGATGTAGCCACATAGACTTAAACCAGACCTAAAGTGGCAAGTTATAGCTTGTCTCTAATGCTCCCTAATATAAATACATTGCTTTCTCTGGGTTGCAGCAGGCCAGTGATTTTGGAACAGAGTAGACATTGACATCTGTGAGCAGGCTTTCATCCCAGAAGTCAGACGGAAAACAAAACCAAACCACACATGCAAGTGGTACATGCATGGAATCTCACATTTATACACTTGTATTATGGGTCATCACTGATATACCAAATCACATGGATCAGTGTCTTACATTTTCTAGTCTCTCTGTAATGATAAAAATAGTTTCTACGATATTCCATACACAAGAGAGTCACACAAGTCTTGAACTAGTTGTCCATACAATTGTACTTTATTTGAAGGATAATCCGTAAAACACCAAAACTGTTGCCAACTTTTAAGATGGTTTCAAATGCTACACACGTCACTTCTATAATAATGCATTTGTGCAATATGTGAAACAATCATAAGATGAAGTAATCCATCTGACTTGTTTTATGGCTCACGGAACTACAACATTAAAAAGTATTATTTTGGAGACAAATATCATTAAAAACGACCATGGTATGGAACTAGAAGCCAATCAGCTCCTCTGCCTGCACACAGGTTCCATCCTGGGATTGCAATTCCGCCCATGGAAAGAGGCCCGAAGCGATCTTCAGCAAAGAAGAGCTTTTTGTGCCCCCCTGCCTTACCACATAAGACACCGCCGTCTTGTTGTCCATCTGCAACTGGACCCGTCGACCTTGGACAAGCTAGAGAAAGGCATTGAGAGCCTCGAATGCTGCTTGTAACTCAAACGCATTCGAGTGTCCTGGTCTCTGAGATGCCCACCTTGACTGAACCTGGTGCCCCAGGCAATGGGCTCCTCATCCTGTTTCCTGTACACATATGACAGAAACGATTGCAGCAACGATCACTAGAGGATTACCTGGTAATAGACAGCGTAGAGAGAAATCCTTCACTTCAATAATCTCCTACCGAGTTGAATGGCTTCAACCGAAGAGTACATGCAATTCCCTGGAAGACAGCCAGCTTATATAAGCACTGCTGCCCTAGGCTGTCAGCGTTGTGCGCAGCCAGCTGAGCCTCGGCGTGAGCTCCACGCTGGTCCGCCGTCCGGCCCGCCCCCTGGAACACTGCGACCCAATCCGAGAGCAGCAGGAAGGGGCGGGACCCGCAACCCTGCTGGAACGCAGATGAACCGCAACTTATTTTATTAGTTTAACCACTTGCTGTCTGGAGCAATTTCTTACTACTTGCACACATGATAAAACCTGAATTTTTGGCTAGAAAACAGCTTAAAACCCCAACAATGATATATTTTCTGAAAGCAGAGGCCCTATAGAATAAAAACATGCTAGTTGCCATTTCTTATGTCGCATAGTATTTGGGGGTGTATGTTTATCAAACTGGTATTTTTAGGATTAAATGCACTAAAATGAAATTTAATGCAGAGAAACAGAATACCCAATTTTTTGGTAAAATATAAAAGACGGGGTCACATTGGCTAAATAAACACCAAACATAAAAAGCCTTAAAATCGCATTTGTACGTGAAGTCGCACAAAACTACAACACCCAAAATTCCCCATAGGGGACACTTTAAAAGCTTTTACCGCTCATAACTTTATTGCCATCACATAGGGGGCTAACTATCCCCCTATGTAATAGTAAATAATAATGTGACAGGTCCTCTTTATGAAGGCATCAGAAGTTTTTTAGACCCCTAATGTCACCTAGTGACCCCAAAGAAGCTGATGAAGCAGAGATCTGCTTCCCCAGCTTCTTCTCCTGGCTCCAACACCCAGAGAATGTAAACAGTGAAAACGGACGTGATGTAATACTAGAAGGGGGGGGGGACACAGCGCCACACCGTACAAGTGCCGGATCACAGAAACAGCAAATGGCCCGCCATTTAAATCAATTCCAAGAACACGGCTGCAGCGTAACCACTTCAGCGGCCAGACGTATATGTATCCACAGCAAGTGGTTAAACTACAAAAGTTAACAGTGTAGGTCTATTTTAAGTAGTTAATTGTAGTAAAAAAAAAGTTATATGCAGGTATGTTGGGTAAATAGCCAATTAATGAAAGTCATCTAAATGCCATCTGTAAAATATCAAAACTGAAAAAAGGATTTAGATTATATTAAACGCATAATTTAAAAAAAAAACTCATTAAAAAAGCACTCTATTTTATTGGAGAAACATCACTATAAAACAGAATTTTTGTACCCATAAAATCCCTGGAGTCCATTGAGGAACACTGATGTCTTGAAGATTCCTGCCTGCAGGAGGAGTGCACATTGGCAAACAAAATAAAAATAAACCACAATCCTAGATAACCCCTCCTAACAGCATTGCTTAGTTTTCCAGCAAAGTGTTACCTAAAGCATCATCATAAATACAGAGGGATGGGACCTGTGTCCCTAAATGGGCTCCAAGAAATAGTGTGTGCAGTTGTGACTACAAAAATCCTATTTTCCCTCTCATCTATTGGGGGACACAGGACATTTGTAACCTTTAGGATGTCCAAAAGTAGTCCAACTGAAGCAAACAAATCACTAACAGGCAAAGGAAGGAACAGAAAACCTGGGAGTGCCTTGTAGCTCAAAGAGCCGCTTGAAAGATCTTATGACCAAAACGGACATCAAATGAGACTGAAACATCCATCGGGCAGAACTTAGAGAATGTGTGAACAGAAGAGCAGGTGGCAACCTTGCAAATATGAGAAAGAGTTGCTTGAAAAACTCAGAAATCATAGAGTGCGCCTTGTTTACTCTGAGCCCGATGAAGGGGACCCTGTGTGGCCCCGAAAGCGCATGATGGCACTTTGAGTGATTATTGACATCAAATAAATGGATTTGCACTGACATCCGAGTCTTTGTCGTGCTGGTGTGCTGGTGACGTTCCCAACTTGACAGGAAAGGGTGGACAATGATCCTCAAGACCATAGGGATAGGGTTGGATGATGGCCTAATTAAGCACACTGGGGACTGTGGAACGACAAGCCAATGTACCCTTTCAGGGTCCATCAGGGATTACAAAAAGAGAATTGGACTTGCTGAAAGAAGCAGTGGCTGAGAAATAGCCTGAACCACAAACAGAAAATGAGGGGGAAATTCCTTTTTTTGAACTGGAGCTGAAAAAAAAGGGATAAAGAACAATGTACTGGTTGAGGTGAAAGGTACCTTTACTAAGCTAAGGAAGTCCTGGGTCCCAACACCATCTTATCCAGCAATGGTTCCTTGCAGGATAAGGTTGCCTGGATGCTAGTATAGGAGGGGTGATATCCTGGTTTGGTCTACAATTTTTTTTGCCAGTGTCCAGTCCTCCTGTAGACGGCAGTATAACCTAAAGGTTAAAGACTTTCTGTGTACCTCAATGGATGGAAAAAAACACTATTTACAAAGTTTAGCATCTCAAGTATCTGTATAAAATATGGAAAGAAGGCAGTAGCATGTAAAAATAAAAACACAGATGTGTCATGGCTGGTACCCCATAATATGAAACTTACTCAAATTCTGTAGCAAAATATTTTAAGAAACCCACAAACAGGTCTCCCAGAGAGGCACCATTTTTGGACTGGTACTTCGGAATATGGCGAGGAGCAAGGTGTACTAGGTGCAGCTGCATGGTAGGGTTAAAACATTCCTGAAAGAATAAAATGAAAAATTAAATTACAAATTCTGTAACTAAAGGAAAAATCCACTTTTGTAGTAGTTTGTGATACAACTAGGATACCCTGAGAAATATCGTATATACTCGAGTATAAGCCGAGATCTTCAGCCCATTTTTTTGGCTGAAAAGTGCCCCCCTCGGCTTATACTCGAGTCAGCGTCATTTCTTCTTACTTACCTCGCCGAGCGTCGCGTCACTGCTGCTCCGGTGGGCGGCGCTCCAAGCGGGGTCATCTGGCAGTCTCCGGGTCCTAATTTAGGTGGCCGGAGACTGCCAGATGAACCCGCTCGGAGCGCCGCCCACCGGAGCAGCAGTGACGCGACGCTCGGCGAGGTAAGTAAGAAGA